ATAACACAGAGATCCCCTATACTGCCTTCCCTGGTTCGCCTTATGGTCACACCCACCTTGCACAACTTCAATGTACTATCACAACAGGAAATTGACTTGGATAAATTCACAGACCTTACTTAGATTTCACCAGCCTTGTGTGTGTGTCTGTGTGTACATCTGTGTGTGTGTGCGCACATGTTTAGCCCTAAACAACTCCATCTTCTGTGTAGATGTGTGGAACCTCTAGTCGAGATGCAGGACCAGTTCTATACTCTTGCTCCTCTTTTACAGCCATAGCTATCTCCCCACCCTGTTCCCTGACTGCTGGTGATGATGGTCAGCTTTGATCAATGTGCATCTTTTTTTTTTTGAGACAAGTTCTTGTTATGCAGTTCAGGCTGGCCTTGAACTCACTGGGATCCTCCTGCCTCTGCCTCCAGAGTGCTAGGATTACAGTATGTGGCAGCACATCTGGCTGGTCAATGAGCAAGTATTAATCCTTCTGTGTAAACCCCTATGCCAAGCATTGTGATTGATACAATCAAATAAACTATAGCCTAATGTGTAGGGGTTCAGGCAGGAACCAGATAAGATAACTGGATTCAAATCATGGATGGCCGCTTTGTATTTTGGGTCTCTCTGCCAGTTTCTTCTTCAATAAAATGAGGTTAGTAATGGAACTTCACAGAGTTGTTATAAGAATAAGATGATATTTCTAAAGCAAGTGGAAAGTGCTTGTCACGCATAGATAGATGCTTCTACCCAAGAACTCACAATGCTGTGGAGTGCGTGCAAAACTCTAACCAGGTCAGCCTGTGTTAAGTGGTGTAATATAAATGCAAACGCAGTACAATAAAGGACTGGGAGGGAGCAATTCATTCCGGTTGAGGAAGGCTGGGATAGGCTTTACAGGAAAGGAACATTTGGGCTGGGCTTTGAAGTGTGAGTAAGACTGACAGAAATAGAAGGGAAGGAAATATGTTTCAGACTGACAAAACAGTTTAGTCTGTGGTCCTGAAGCCTGAGAAGGCAGAGGCTGTTCCCAGAGAGGACTGGAGAGCTAGAACAAAAGGCTGGGAGGAGCTGGAAGGACCAAGAGGGGCAACAGCCAATGGGAGTGGCTGAGGGTTGGGGCAAGTTTGGAGGGGAAACTTAAAGGTCACGTTGTACAAAGCACTGCAGCCTTGCAGTTCTGGAGAAGACCAGCAGAGAGAAGAACTAAAGAAGAAAAGAGAGGAAAAGTACTTTCTAAATTACAAATGCACACAACCCTGATTCATTATCAACAGTAGCAGCAGTGGCAACATGTTCAACACAGTGACAGTTTGGGGCAAGGGTATTAGAAGTTACTACACCAATTCATGCCAGGACCTGTCTATGCCCCACCAGGGCAGTTTCGCTTCAGCCAGGTGTTTGCAATTCCCTTACCAGCAACCTCAAACCATCCTCTCCCCCAAGGTTTCCAAACAAGCCCCTGGACAGGGACTTCGGGGGCTCCTGCTGTCTCTCCCAGTCACTGGCCACACCAGCTCTGCCACCCAGGGTTCCACAGTACTTAGCTCATCGTTGGCCATCGCCTTCCACCAGCTCAGGAAGGCTTGGTCTCTGAATGCCTGCTTGGTCCCAGCTTCCCCGTTCCCTGCCTTCCTCTTTTCTTCCTCCATCCTGGGGTAAGTTCTCTTCCCGTTATTTGCTGGGGCCCTTGCCTGTGACTGATCTGAGCAGATTCCTGCCGGCCTTTCACAACATAGTTTTGCCTCTCCAGTCCCAGGTCTTAAAATGCCCTGTTGCCACCTACACTCGGCAGTGGTACACAGAGCAAGAGCAAATTACCTTGTGCTTCTGCTTTGAAAAGTGTTCTCAATCAGTCACTTTCTTCAGGCTAATGTTTAGAAAAAGAGGAAGGCCAAAGTGCTCATTTCATTTGCTTAACCAAATTATATGGTTAACTCTACATAGACTGAAAAAAATGACTATTTCATGGTCACATCAGACACCTTTCAATCTGCTGTCATTCTCACATCCATGAAAAAAAGATGATGGAGAAATGGCTCTTACTAAGTGGGTGATGAATGATTGATTTACGGTTTGGCTCTGAAAACTAACAAATAATAATAATGAAAAACACTTGCTTTCCCTCTACACAAAGTTGAGTACAGCAACTAGTCAGAAGATCGTGGAAATGAAATGTAGCCAAACAAGACCTAGAAATAAGTACCCCCACGTACCCTTAAGACAATCACCTCTTGGGCTGGGGATTTAGCTCAGTGCCTGCTGCGCAAGTGCAAGGACCCGAGTTTGATCCCCAGTACCAAAAAGAAAAAAAGACAATTACCTCTTATCGTACACATAAAAGGGCATTCTTTCCTCTGCTCAGTGTTTTAATTTCCAAGACAAGCCTCTGTCACTTAACTTGCCTGTGAAAGGTGACCCAGTGGCACATGTCATGGACACAGTGCCCTCCTAGCCAAGCACATCAAAGGCATTCTCCTGTGCTCCTGTACATTTTAGAGAAAAAAATTCACTTGTAGCCATTAACTCAAATTCATGTCAATAAATCAAATACCTGACTACAGGACATCACTTGAAACAAATTCACACAATAAGCCAGGAAAATCAAGACTGAAAAAGAAAGAAGAGAAACAAAGCAAGGAAGCTTGAATTTTCCTAATTTCATAGCCTCACCCACCAAATATGTTTGGAAAAATGCCAATATCTCCAAATCCCTCAACAAAGCCTTTTACACAAGGAGACCCTGTATCTTTCTGGGTTTTGTAGAAAGTGTCATCAAGTCTACGGATGGTAGGAGGCTTTGCTCTTCCAGCTTCCACCCTAGCAGAGGACAGCCAGCCTGTGAGAGGGACGGCCACGCAAAAGATGGCTGAGAAGGATGCTCTATTTTTAATTTAATGTGACAGAATAATCTACTAAGAAATTAGCTGGAATGGTGGCACACACCTGTAGTCCCAGCACTCAGGTGGCTGAGGCAGGAGGATTGCTGTGAGTTCAATTTCAGCCCGGGTTACATAGTGAGAACTTGTCTCAAAAAAAAAAAAAAAAACAGACAAGAAAGAAAGACAGAAAGAAAGAAGGAAAATTAACTGTGCCATGGGTCTCACAGAAGCAGACATAAAATCATTTCCTTTCCCCATACAGATCTCTGTCACCCACTGCCTCCATTTCCACCCCAAGAATGGTTTAGTTGGCTTTGTTTTAGAAAAGTCTAGAAGTGTGAAAAACTGACACCTATATGAATCACCTGAGGACCTTGTTAATAATTTATATTTAGGGTTCCTCCGTGGGTCTACCAATTAAGAATTCTGAGGATCGGGCTGGGGATTTAGCTCAGTGGTTTTGCCACCTGCTGTGCAAGCACAAGGACCCAAGTTCGATCCCCCGTACCAAAAAAAAAAGAATTCTGAGGATAGGGTGGGAGTTACCTTTTAAAGTCCTGATTCAGCAGGTATTCAAGAATACTCTGAGAAGTATTACATCAACAGAGACAAAAACCCCTGAGAGAGATGATATGATGACACACTGGGGAGCAGAGGCTTCAGAGGAAAGGACCAGCCTTAGAACCAGGGCTCACTCCAAGGTAAGGAACTTCGTCCTCATCAGGTAGCAAGGCCCACTGGAAGATTTTAAGCAGGTGGCACACTGAGTTTCACAGCTCATAGCTCAGGCAATGACCCTCCCCAGGAAGCCGGCATCCACATCCAGGAGACATTCCTGACCTCCAGGCCCCAGGTAGACCACACATACAGCTCTGTGACTCCATGCTGACCCCACGGTACGGTACTGTGTTACTGTCCTGCTCTCTTCTCCACCAGTAAGCTGCAGTGGCCAAACAAGGAACTTGCTCAGGGTGCCTGGACTACAGTCACTGTCCAATAAATGTGTAATCAAGTGGACTGTTGCTTTATAGGTACAAACACAGCACTACCAAATGGTCCTGATTGTCTACACAAAAAGCAACTCCACTGCCTCCTTGCCAGTGCTTGTTTACATGGCTTAGAAGGCTTCAAGTACAGAAACTGGCCCCTGTATGTAAGCCTCCTTAACTTGTTTTAAGCATATTGCAATACAGTGTGATCAAAATATATGTGAATATTTCACATTTATTTTAAAAAAATTATTACAGCAAAAGGCATTGCCATTAATCCCTCTCAAAATACTCCCCATCACTCAGCACACTTATTAATCATTTTTGCCACTTTCTGAAGCAGTTCTGGAAGTCCTCTCTCCTGAGTGTCTTTAGTTGTTCTAGCCTGGCTGCCTCAATGTTCTCAATCAAAATTCAAATCATTTACCTATCATTTTGACTTTAGGGAAGAGCCAGAAATTGCATGGTGCTAGATCAGGTAACTAAGGTGGATGAGAATGTATCCTTTTATTGTACAGAAATTGTTGTAAATGTTTCAATTGATTTAGAACACCACGGCAGCCACAGAAAGACATTCACAAAAGAGGACTTTGAGAACTGCTTTAGAAAGTGGCAAGAAAGATGGAGTACCTGTGTTCAAAGCAAAGAGATTTTTGAGAGGGGAATAAAGGCAGTGTGTCTTTTACTGTAATCATTTCTTTAACCACACACTGTATTTTTTGCTCTCTTTCTGAGAAGTTATTTTTCATTTTGATGTTTCAAAAAGAACTAAAATTCTCACAATCCTCCACACGCCCCTCAGAGAGGAAAATGTACCAAGAGCAGATTATAGAACATCAAAGCACCTGGTGTCCAGAATCTTTCAAACCCTAAACGCAAAACACCTGCCTTCTGGTCAGGACCACGCTTCCCTGCTCCCAGCCCCAAGCACCTGTTCCAGTCGGGCCTGCTTGGCAGGAGGAAGCGGCAATCAGAATTTTCCAATTCTAACTGTTTTTCTTTTTTAAAAAGTGGGAGAGAAACCCTGTGCGAACTAGGAGTCATAACGACTCACCCCTGTGAGATCCCCAAGAGAGTCCTTGCCCTTCCCAGGGAAGACAGACACCAAAGGGTGGGAGAGTAGCAGCTTGTTTACCTGTGAGCCTCCTGAGGACCCCACACATGTGCGCACCCTGACGTCGGCGCCTCATCCAGGGCTCCTTGGGACGGGGTTCTGTGCACCGAAGACCTTCACATCAGTGCTGCGACTTGGCTTGGGGCCTCCTTAATCCCGAGCCTTGGGGAGGTCTCGGTGAGCATAGGCCACAGTGAGCTTAGGGGATACCTAAGCACTTGGGGCACCCTGGATAAGTGGCTCCAGAGTCACCTCCTCAGGTCACATGGAAGGGCTGAGGTCCAAGTCCCTGGCCAAGCACTAGGGGATAGGCCAGCCCAGGATGGTACCTGGCCCCCCAGAGACCCCTGCACCTCACACTCTTGCCCTCCCCTCCAGCACAACTGCAGGCTCCAGCCCCGCGCGGGGGACCCGCACCTGCAGCCTCGGGCGGGCGGGGTTGGGAGCTGTCTGGCCCGGGCCCCCACCCCCTGCCCGCAGCTGCAGCGCGCGGCGTCCCCGGTGGGCCTCGCCCCAGGGGTGGGGAGAGGGGCGCGGGCTGGCTCGGCTCCCCGCCCGTGCGGCCTTGCACCTGCCCGCCAGCCCGCGAGGCTTCATTAGGCCGCGCCTGTGCGCTGGCCGGAGGCGTGGAGTCCGGGCATGGAGGCCACGCCGGGTCCCTGCGCTGAACCGCGGGGTGAGCGCGAAAGGGGTCGGGTTGGGTAGGCCTCAGGTCACTGCTCCAGGCTTAGGACCTAGGAGCCTGGGGAGGCCTGTGGGCTGGGTGGCCTCTCCTTTTTGGGGTTTTGATCCCCTAATGCGCCACACTGGGGGAGGGGCGTGTTAAATGCCTGGAGCCCCAGGCCTCTTCTAGTCTAAGTTCTGACGCCTGCCACCTTTGTTCATTAGGACAGATCGTTTCCACAAAGCGTGTGTTTTCTGAGCACCTACTTTACTGTACCAGGTTACTGGTACCCTGGAGGCCCTCCGAGAGGGCTGCATAGCAAATTTGTCCCTCACCCACTGTCCGTCTTCACCCCTTCCTGCCCGGTGGAGGCCATCTACTTCCTCCACCAGCCCCAGCCTGGCTCCTGCAAATCTGCACCTGAGCCTGGACCGGCTGCCCTGCTTATGCCTGGTTAGAAAGTCATTTCTTTAAGACGTGGTGTGACCTAAGGCTTCCCTTCACAGCACGAGGCCTCTTTGTCTCTAGTTGGCATTGATTTATAAATTCCCCATTTTCGTTGGAAATGATGCCTGGGCCGAGGGTCCTTTGGTTCTGAGTAAACCTGGAGGTAGGGGCCGTGCAGTGGCTGAGAGCACAGAGCGTGTGTCCCTGGGCAAGTGAGCCTGAGCGATTACTCAGCTTGCTAATCTTCCTCTTCCTCTGGGAGAAGTGCTTCCTGGCTGGGATTAAGTTCGTGCATCCTGCACTGAAGGTGCTAATGCAGCCCTGAGCCTGGAACAAGGGGAGCTCTTGATGAATCAGTCGGCTCAAAGAAAGGGCCATGGCTTTAAGGATGAGTGATAGGGGGTGTGGAGCCAGACAGGCCCCTCTTTCCTGCTAGGGGAGGAAACAAGGGGGGTGTGCAGAGCAGCTGTGGGGTGCAGGAGGGGTGGCAGGGACAGCACAAGGGCTGGGAGAGGGAGGGTGGTTTTCTTGTCACCTTCCTTTCCCCTCTTCTGCCTTCTCCAGGGGCCAGGCTGAAGGGAAGCAGCATCCCGGCCAACCTGTTTCTCTCTTCCCTGTCCACCCCATCCCAGCTGTTGTCCCTTAGAAACATCCATGTGTTCATCTCGCATCCCTGGCATCTGGGAAAACACAGGGAAGGTGTACCTGAAATTCAGACTGCTCTCCTGCCTAGGGCTAAGTACACCTCTGAATTGAGTGTATTTGTCACCTTTCGCAAAGCAGCTGGGTTATCTAGGATTTGATCAACTGAGTTGGGATTTGATCTCCCACTGTAGGAGCTGGGAAGGGAAGTCTGGAATTATGAGCCCATTTGATAGGTGGGCAAAGGAAAGCTCAGAACCCAATGCCAGAGGCCCTGCAAGGCAAGAAGCAGTGCTTCCTTCCAGCCAGCCTCTTTCCCCTGACACTAAGGCCTTGTGCTGCTCCCCGCAGGCCAGGAAGGTAGAGGCAGGACCCTGGCTGCCGAGCTGGAGGAGGAGGAACAGCATCGGCGCTCAACCACTCACAATCAGGATGCCCAGAGAGAGGAGCCTCCTCTGCCCTGCACCCTCTCTGGAGAGAAGCCACAGCCAGAGGTGTTGGGACAGGTAGCCGAGGCTCATGCCTGTAGAGGGCGCCAGCCCCCCAGTTCCAGGCCTCTCCCCAAAGACCAAGCACCAGCCCCATCCAAACCCCACCCTCAGGGGGAGGCCAAGCCAGGGAAGAGGCCCAGCTCTCCAGTCCCTGGCAAGCAGAAGAGGCCCAGCGCCCTGGGTCTGGTGTCTGCATCATCTCCCAGTATGGGCCACTCACCCAGAGCCAAGCATAACCCAGTGCCTTGTGGGTCAGGCCGGGGCCCCTGCCACCTGGCCAACCTGCTCAGCACACTGGCCCAGAACAGCCAAAGCACAGAACAGAAGAAAGGGCCCCCAGAGGTGACCTGCCAAGTCCGGAAAAAGACTCGAACCCTGTACCGCTCAGGTGAGTCCCTACAGATGAGAGACTGGGTGTCCACCCAGAAAGGGCTTGGTGCTGTAAAGAGAATATAGCCCCAGGAGACCAGAGGGGTGTGGCTAGTTTGTTACTTTGTTCTGCATCCCTCTCTTGGCCCCAAGGCCAAGGCTGGGTTGTCACATCAGAAAGTGAGGTTGGAGCCAGGGTTGGTGGTGCATGTCTATAATCCCAGTGCTCTGCAGGAGAAGGCAGGAAGATCACAAATTCAAGCCCATCCTGGGTATTCAGTGACTTAGCAAGACCTTGTTTCAAAATGAAAAGGGCTAGGAGTGGAGCTCTTTGTGAAGGGCCTGGGTTCAATCCCCAGTACCACAGAAAAAAAAAAAAGAAATGAAAGGTTGGAACCAGGATGGAAGTCTGGAAAGTAAACCCACACAAGTCTCTGGACAGTGCCCAAGAGCCAAAGAAGGCCTGGCCCACTGGGGAGCTTAGGTGCAAGGCTTTTGGGCTGAGGTCAGTGATCTCATCTGCTGGAGATACCTGGCCTTTGGTGGGCATCTCATTTTCTTCTCTTGCCATGAAACTGGTCTGTAACCTTCTGCAAGTCTCTTCTTCTAGATCAGCTGGAGGAGCTAGAACGGGTTTTTCAAGAAGACCACTATCCCGACAGTGACAAGCGCCGGGAGATTGCCCAGATGGTGGGGGTCACGCCCCAGCGCATCATGGTAAGGGGGTGGCTAAGCAGTCAGCAGGGGTGGTCGGGAACCTTCCCATTGGCACTCTCGAGGGGCAGGAGCATGCTGCATTGCCAACCACCTGAGGGCAGAGGCCAGGTCCTGGATGTGGCTGTGTTCTGCCTGCTTTCCCAGGGTTACACCAGCCTCAGGCACTAAAAGAGGAAACCACCATACAAACCTTTTTATAAAACCATGCTGTCAGAGAGGCATCTGAAAAAAATGGGGAAGTGACCTTCTCATCATGTAGCTCATCTCACGACAGCCAGGACTCTGGCTGGAGGCCTCTCTCAAGTTCAGATACCTTTCCCTGGCAGGTGTGGTTCCAGAACCGCCGGGCAAAGTGGCGGAAAGTGGAGAAACTGAGTGAGAAAGAAAAGCAGGACAATGCTGCAGCCCCTGCTAGCAGTCAGGGCAGGTAAGTGTTTGTCCTCTTCCTGTGCCCCCACTCTGGCAAGCAGCACAGTCCCTGAGGGGACCCTCAGGTCCTGAAGAAGAAACAGGTAGAGGCTGGGCATGAGTCCTGGGCATTGGCTGGTATGTAGTGGGTTTGACTGGGATGAGGCTAGGAAGCTGTGGCTGCCCCGTAGGAGGCAGAGTCTGGGAGTCCTGTGTCCTTTTCTGCACAAAGGCTGCAGTCTACATCTAGATGCCACCAGAGCTGAGGTCTGTCTTCTCTCTGCCTCCAGCTCCACAGCTGAGCCCCCACCTGCTGTGCCCATGGACCCAGAGCCTGGCACCTTCCCTCTCGAGCCCTCTCTGGATACCTTTCCAGGTAAGCTCCCACCTTCAGAGGGTTTGTTGGGAAGACTTGAAAGCTACGAAAACAGTGACAACAGAAGGTCCTTGCTTGGTAGAGGCAGGAATGCATGGAGGTTCTCAGGGGTTTGGGTTACAAGGGCCCATTCAGAGCACTCTGGGCATTGCATATGGTGGCCCCTCTGCTTCCCAGGCCTGAATCCCATATTCTGAACCTTGAGGCCCCTCTTTCCCTTCTGTTCCTAGAGCCCCCCATGCTGCTGACCTCAGACCAGACTTTGGCCCCTACTCAACAGACTGAGAGTGCTCAGAGGGTAACAGTGACCCCCCCACTCTACAGCCCCCCACCTCTGCAAAGGACCAACCTTCCTCTTCCCCTGGTCCCTGTCCACACCCCAAAACTTATGCCTCTGCTAATGGATGCTCCAGTCAGTCACCGCAGCTACAAGGATGGCCCCTATGGGTCCTGGAAGACAAGGTATGAGACTTGAGAAAGAAAGTGAGCTGCGTTACCTTGGAAGGGGTATTGTATGTTGGGGTCACCACCAAGACAGGGTGAGGGAGGGGGAGTGAGGCCACCTCTGAACCTCACTGAATCCTCCCCTGTCCCACATAGCTTCACCCCACCACCCACCTTCTCATATTTGGAAGACCTGGAGTCCCAGGATTACCAACCAAGCCACCAGTTCTCCCAGGCTCCACCAACCCAGCTGTTCCAAGCCCCTCAGCCCCAGCTGCCATACCTGCCGCCCTTGCCCTTGCCCATGCCCGGTTCACTGTCGTTTCCACCGCCACCAGAAGATCCTCTCTTTTCCTTTCCTTGTGGCCCTGCTGGAGGCACGTCACAGAGCTACTGCCCAGGACCCCCATCAGGGCAGATCCTGCTGCAGCCACCCGCTGGGAATATGGGTGAGTGGAAGAAAACTTCCCCTTGGAATTGAGGAAGGTGCCTGGGGGAAGAGAGCCTCACACTCTGGAGGGTAGACTGAGGCAAGGCAATGAGTGATGAGAAAATCCATTTCCTTAGGTCTGGTTCCTGGGCCAGCTCATCTGGTTACAGCTCTCCCAAGGCTCAGTGCTGGACTTGGAAATGGGACTAAGTCCTGATGCCATTGAAGAATTAGAAACAATATGAGTGGGAATACTTGTCACGGTAGATGGCAGCTGTTAGTATTCTGCTGGGCCACCTAGACTTCAGCAATCCCAGTGCCTCCATCTCATTGAGACTAAATTCTAGCAGGAAGGGATGGACGATACATTCAGGAGGTTCCCAGCCTCCTAGCTGCCTATGTGACACTTTGCCTGACCTGTGGTCCTGCCTGGGTCTGAGATACCAAACTGCAGAACCTGGATTCCAGGACTTGCACTGGGATCTTGAGCTA